ATCAAAAGACAGAAATCATAAAATAATATATTAATCTTTCTATAATGGTCATTTAACAATCAAATGGAGATAATTCGATAATATTGAATCCTACCAAAATCAAAATAAGTTTCCACAACCCATGATAGATAAAGTACCTCATTGTCTCTACACTATTTACAGATAGATACTCTTTTTCATAGTTATCTTTTTGTATAAGAAACTAAATGCCAAACAAAAATCATATGGTATAATGTCGCTTGCCCGTCAAGCACCCTTGCTCACAATATGTTAGAAGTAGACATAAGCGGGACCAGTCATTGTTGGTCTCGGTACTGGTCAGAAAAAATCTTGGTCCCGGTCAGAAAAAAACTTTCGGTCCCAGTCAAAAAGAAAAATTTGGCCCAGGTCGCGGCGGGACTGACATCCGAGCCGTCAAGCCAATAGCTAGTTAGAAGAGTAAAAATGGATTGACAATGAGGATGAATGCGAGGATATTGTTGATATGACACAATTATTGATCTACAGTTAAAACTGTCTACATTATGAACATCCACGAGCGTCATATCTGAAAGAAAGACTGGAGGTGCAAGTTGCGACTTTGAAAAAACTGCGGAGCATTAAGCAATAGCTGCAAAAACTTCTTCAAAATGCATTCACAACATCATGTTTTATTGTAGTTTTCCGACTGGAATAGCGAAACTACAATAGAATAAAAATGGATTGAAATACTTTCTTTAAATATTTGTTTTTGAGGACACTCTGACTATATCTTTCGTTTATCGTCACATGCGAGATTCAAGAAACAAGGTCAAAAAGAAGTCTTTTTCCAAACTATAGTAAAATATGTTGAGTCGAAGGTACACAACATGTTCGTTCGTCTCTTTGGTATGTTGTCCATTCAGCGAAAAAAAGAATACGCAAAATGCACAATAGCAAAAAAAAGACCCTCACCCTCAAATCCATCCGCTGATTTTTTTTCACTAAAAAGCCTTTCATTGATGTGCACCAATACTATCTCTTTCAATCCACGAAAATTATGTTTCTTTTAGAATAGAATAAGTAGGTTAGAAGTAATAGGAGCAATATTGAGTTTTCATTTATCAAAGCATTAGAATATGTGCTTTTCGACTTTAAATCTATGTGGCTTAGAATACCACCTGTGTGTTAGATATAAAAAAAGAGACACCTATACAATACTGCCTCGTTTCAACACAAGCTATGATCAGAAGTGTAATCTGTTATTTCGTTTTCGTTCTTCTCAAGTAAATACCGTTGACTTTTATTTTTTATTCTTCGAACATTTATTGGTTTTCTATTTTAGCGTTACAATCACTACTCAGCAGTTGGGTAAGCTTTACATTAACGTGTCTCAACTCCACTAAATACAAATTTAAAATCAGATATATGTAGTTATTTTGCATCTAATATTAATCTGCATTAGGGTTGGTACATTACTATTGCTGACAATAAGTGATAACTAGTGACATTATTACTTAGTACTAGTAATAAATAATAATTTTGAAAAGTAATGAAAGTAATAAAGAACTAATAGTTATAAAGTAATAAATAATAAAAGTAATAACTGTTATTACTAGTTACTAGTAGTAAGTGATAACTACAAAATAGTAATAATGTAATAGACAAATAAGATAGTAGAATTACTTCTAATCATCGATTAAATTTCGGCTCTCTCACTAAAGTATTATAGCACCGTTAGATTTCATTTTCCCAACATAAATTGATCTCAATACTTATGCATTACTGATGGAAGAAGTATAATTTGTGGATTGTGTAGACCAAGTTTGGTTAAAATAATACTTCATTAAAATGTAGAAAGTTAACCTAGTCGTGTAATGAAATCTTGCTTATGTAAATCAAAAAAAGCACTCATCCTTTTCCTTCGTAATTATTCGCGTTGGGAGAGTCTGATGTTCGACTCTTTTTTATTTTATTCAAAAATCAAAAACTGTCCGCACACACATATACAAATATAACTATCTATATCTGCCCTTGAAGAAAAAAAACGCATATATATATATGTATATGCCGGCTGCCTAGATCAAGGGTCAAACTTAAGGACAAAAGAATAAAGAGTGATCAAGGTTACGTAACATCAGAAAGATCTAACAAGAGAGAAAGAAAGAAAGAGAAAAAAAATAAAGAAAAATAACAATAAGGAGGTGAATCTGCTAACACTAATTTATACAATTATTATTATCAATAACCTTCAACTATTCTCTGTTAAAAAAAAAGTGGCCGCGGGTATTTTTGCAATAACTCAAGAATGGAAAGAGCTAGAGACTTGTGGTTTTCACCATTGTGTAGGCCATTGAGTACCAAATAGATTCCCTAATCAACGATGAAAAACATTGTCTTTTCAGGTAATGTCCTTTATCAACCTTTGAAAAGTTCGCGTGCAAATTTCTTACGAATTATAGTGACTTGTTGGTTTTAAATGTTCAAAAGATAGCTCAAGTGTCTCTCTACAAAACAGCGAGAGGCTGACCTCTCTAGCGATTATAGTTAAAAAAATGGAACACATTTTCCTGAGATCCATGCAAGTGGTTTTTTTTACAAAGATAACTTAGAAGTACATACAGGAAAGAAAGTAGTTGATCATGGTTTTCTTGACGTGAACTATTGTTCTAAATCTTAAAAAACTTCTGTGATTGAAAATCAAGAGGTAGACTAATGCAGAAGTAATATGGACCGAAAATATCCAATCAAAACATAAAAAAATAAAAAAGTGAAAATATATAAGAAATAGACTAAAATGTTAATTACTGAAATAAACGAATAGTTATTTCTTCTATACTGTATTTATTTAGCTTGTATTGTCTTCACCACGTTGTATAGATACTTTTAGTATCAACTACGCCTATCGCATCCGTCTTTCATAACACAACAGTTTATCAGGACATGTGACTATATGTTCAACCCTGGGAGTATTGTTGATATTGCTTTTCTCGAAGGATTCTTAACTGATCAAGTTCTTAAAATGAAAACCAATTAACAATTCCGAGAACAATAATGCAACATGGCGAAGACGATACAAGCTAAATAAATACAGTATAGAAGAAATAACTATTCGTTTATTTCAGTAATTAACATTTTAGTCTATTTCTTATATATTTTCACTTTTTTATTTTTTTATGTTTTGATTGCATATTTTCGGTCCATATTACTTCTGCATTAGTCTACCTCTTGATTTTCAATCACAGAAGTTTTTTAAGATTTAGAACAATAGTTCACATCGAGAAAACCATGATCAACTACTTTCTTTTCTGTATGTACTTGTAAGTTTTCTTTGTAAAAAAAACCACTTGCATGGATCTCAGGAAAATGTGTTCCATTTTTTAACTATAATAGTTAGAGAGGTCAGCCTTTCGCTGTTTTGTAGAGAGACACTTGGGCTATCTTTTGGACATTTAAAACCAACAAGTCACTATAATTCGTAAGAAAATTCCACGCAAACTTTTCAAAGGTTGATAAAGGACATTACCTGAAAAGATAATGTTTTTCATCGTTGATTAGGGAATCAATTGGGTACTCAATGGTCTACACAATGGTGAAAACCACAGGTCTCTAGCTCTTTCCATTCTTGAGTTATTGCAAAAATATCTGCTGCCACTTTTTTTTTAAACAGACAATAGATCAGTACATACCAGCATTGTATTTTCAAATTTTAAAAATATGGAAGTTTGTCTGATAAACTAATGCTAGATCATTAAATAACAAAGGACCGATGCTTTGTTTTAGTTGTTCTCTCTAGTGTAAGACCTTTTTCTTAACAAAAAGCAACTATTATGCAAGAACTATATTCATTTCAAAATAAAAGAAGATGACTAGTTTTGAAATAACTTTTGACAGGAGTAATATAGAGACCAGTAGTTTCACCGTATAAACGAGGCGCTGAAATTGCATGGAATCGTATATGTAAGATTTTTCTGACAAGTTTTCCCAGGGTTTTCCAACAAGTCTCTAAAACAACAAAACATTGCGTAAAGTAAAAATTTTGAGACTCTAATTTTCAGGAGTCCACTAGAATCGCTAGCTAAAGATCTACCAAAT